GTTAAGACCTCAGAATCCGATAGTTGTATTTAAACGTTGAGAAAATCTATAGAAGCAAGGAGATGTCTATTGTCTGGGGAATACGTGCAGAGTAACGTTTTCATGGTGTAGGTCTCCTCCGTACTCCCATACTGTAATAAAAGTGGATGTTCATACCGACGTTCTCTTTCACTTATAACGTTTAAAGTCTCTAGCAGTGGCTAGTTACGACTCTCAATGGCGTCGAAACTACTTTAACATAAGACATTTTACCCTTCAATGTAGTTTCCTAAAAACTTCTAGTCAAAGTAGAGCATTTGGTAGGGAATGCATGCTGTACTTCTCTTATCGAACAATGATGCCTTCGATTTCAGTATTCAGTAATATCAGGTCGGCTATGCGCTATTGAACTTGTTTGGCGTTAAATAATCAACAAGTTTTATTTGCGAATTCAATTTTCTATACCATATGAACTATAAAGTGATTCTGTTTCTATCTTATCGTAGTATTGTGGTGTTTTAGTTATTGGTTAGTTTGCTATAGTTGTTGATATTGTGTTTTTGTAGTTATCGGTTAGTTTGCTATAGTTGTAGGTATTGTGTTTTTGTAGTTATCGGTTAGTTTGCTATAGTTGTTGGTATTGTGTTTTTGTAGTTATCGGTTAGTTTGCTATAGTTGTAGGTATTGTGTTTTTGTAGTTATCGGTTAGTGTGCGATAGTTGTAGGTATTATAATGATGTCGGAGTTATTGTGACTACATGTAACATACAGCTGATAGTGGATTAACTTCCTAGACAGCACAGCCAGGGAAAACGCGAGAAAACAATTTTCTCTAACAAGTTTCTTTAATATAGAGTAAATACAACAGAGGCAAATTATTATACAATTTTGTTTAAATTGATAATATGTGCAAGAATAGGTATACATGTTTTGTTGGTTTTTCATATAAGTATATAGCTCTTCACCAAAGTGTAATGTATATAAAGTCAATTTTAAATTTGTACTTCTGGTTTAAAGTTGTACTTAGCTTATACTCCACAGGTAAAGTATATGTTTATTCTAAATTAATATAATGATTATTCTACTTTTATACCGAACATTAGATCCCAATAACTTCAATGAAAACCTTATACCAACCAAACTACTATATGCATACATAAATCTTTGTTAAAAAGCATGCATTTATGTTTATACATGTATGTTTTTTTGTTCAAAATATATCTCTATCACATATTGTCTTTAAATTGTATTACATATATATACATACATACATAGGATTTTCTTAAATGTCTGTACGTATGTATATAATGAACATAGGATGTTATATAATGTCTGTACTTTACAGAACGTACCCAGGATTTTATGTAATGTACGTACGTACGTATGTTTATAACATACAAATGGTATCATATTATGTCTTTACATATTTATATAACGTACATAGGACTTTATATGATGTCTGTTTGAAGTCAGAAACAGACCACAGCACACGACGTCAGAACAAATCGCATTGCTTGTCTGTCTTGGTTAAACTGTGGACTGGCACATTCTTCTTTTGCAAGGACCTACAAATGTCGCGTGTACACATTTTCATGTATGGAGAATTTTAATTCACCTGACACCTTCCGTAGAGACTTATACTGTCATGTCTTCATATTTGACGTCTGTGCAGTCCAGGGTTTTTACTCTCTGTCGCCTGTCACCTTCCGTAGAGACTTATAATGTCATGTCTTCATATTTGGCGTCTGTGCAGTCTAGGGATTTTACTGTCTGTCGACATTGAAGTCCACTTTTATCCATGAGATTTTCCTTTTACCCACTGAAATATTTTGATTTTTAAACAGAATTCCGGAATGTGAAAAGAATATTCAACCGGATTTTATGACCGCAGGCTAAATTTATTCAGCTCGTCGAAAAAGCATTAAATGCAAACATATCATTACGTTTACAATCTATACCTCCACATTTAATTGATAGGTTTAAGGTTAAAATCTTCCTCACCCATTATACCTGTGAATTGTGTTAGAAATAATTTGACTTAATGCTGTGAAATGCCTTACAAATTATGCTCCTGGTTTGTTTTAGAGTTAAAGTGCACACTACCTCATACAATAAACCTTTGTTTTGTGTTCGAGTTAAAATATAACTACCTTACACATTATAATTATTGTTCGTGCTGAGGTAATGGTTTTATAACACAGTGCACATTATATTTGTAATTTATATTATAATTGAGGTTATTTTCTACCTTCAACTTAATATACATGTGCACTAGACCTATCTCCCTATGAACAGCTTAATTACAACTATCTGAAATTGATTGCCATCTTATTGTAACCAGACATCCATGTTTGTGAGACATTCAAATGTATCTGGTATGATCATCGCTGATAAATGAAACACAACAAGATTAAGAAACATGAGCTTTCTTTTAAAGGAAACGTGTCTCACAACAGGGTAGTATAAATAATAGGTTTTGCTTTCGTGCCACGATGCAGCCAATGATATAGAATGGAGCAGAAAATGTGAAAACTGCTTAGATGTTACACCTTAGCTCACATCAAATAATAAAAAATGTAATGAACTTGAAAGGTTTGACCGGTAATATACTGACCATGTCATAATCATTGTCCTGTCAAACTGTAAGTCCATCCGGTTTAAATATCAAATTCTTTCAAATTGAAGCAATGTATGTACGAACTTTCATAGTAATGCCGACTTGGTGATATATTCAGACGCGTTCTAAAATCCAGTTCCTACTTGATAACATTTACCGTGTAGATCGAATGGTCACTGGAGGATTCGTTATCGCCTTTTAATACAATTTAACATATAAAGAGCCAACTAACCAGATGAATGCCATGCCTGTCAGGCATTTAGTTATTACGATAGTGCTGAATCAGCATTATTATATTAGGGACATATCAGATTACTACTAACGAAACGAACATGGAAACATCTCGTGTGATGACGCGATGATAGTATTAAAGTACAGAGTCGAGCGAAAGCAAAGCGACTCGCTCTAACCGATCAATGAGGTTTAGAATTGCAATGTGCTAATAAAACTATGCAACAAGATAAACAGTATTTTGGTTGATTTGTTTAGGAAACCAATCCAGTTAATAAGCACTTCATTACGTGAGGGAAAGCTGAGACTGTTATTGTGTATCCCACTCGGGTATCGTAACAATCCATCTATTATGTAATTATAATCTTCATCCACATAACTCATGGGTCTGAACTAGGCATTGCCGTAAACACAGAAAGATCCTCGACGCCTAAGGTTTTCGGCGAGGCCACTACATTATGAGATAAGGCTTGAAAACAGCATCACAATTCTCCTCACAAAGCGGGCTACAAAATGCTTAAGCTAACCTTTGCATTCATCAAAGTTTTTATTCCGTATTGGCCGAAAGAAAATTGGTTACCCCTCTACCATCAGACGATCTTTAAAAACACCAATTAACTTAGGAATAACATTTCCCCGTTCACATCGCCAAAGAAATGCGTCCACGCGAACTAGAGTTTACGTCATTTTATGTCATAGTGGTTAGTGAAAATTATATAATTGAACCTAATATGCAAAAAAATCGACGCCACGCTGCAACACTGTAGTGTTTTGCTTGCTGGTGATGGAGACGTGTTGGTGATGAGCGTTTTAGGGAGTTAGACGAATAGACGAGTGCTGATGGACGGGGAAAATATGTTGAAAGCCACATCTTTTTATTGATGCTGCATGCAAGGTGTTGTGTTTCGTTGTTATTTAACGATTAAATTGTCTTCGCGATTAGGCATTTATTTCTTGAGATAAATCTTTAAGGTCATGTTGCTATATTTATAGTGACTTTAACAGTCTCTTAGCTTTAATATCTGTTTGACGAAATTAAAATGTTTCTCGTCGTTATTTGATATTTTGATTGCAATAAATTATTTTAATCCTTTCGATATGACAAGAAACGTGCTTTTGTTTTGAAATTTAATGATGATTACCATGAAATCGACTTAAATGTTAACGACTTGTAATAAGAAAGAAGCTAACAGGGTAGCATTATCAATCTTCATTTGTAATCTAATTGACTGTTTATGTCGGCGTAGCAAGAACTAATGGCTAAATATACAATATCCTTGTATGGTATTACACCATGTATATACTATTCATGTCAGTTGAATTGTTGTGTAAAATATAAGTGTGGTCTGACAATACACACTGGTTTTATTATCGTTCGATTTATAATAACATTTTATGATTGGCTGATGGGTAAACATGTCTATCAAATTGTCTGGGATACCCATTATACACACACATTTTTGTATTTGATCAATTATTGCTTTCCTCGTATATTCGAGCAGACCAATCTTGTCATCTGCCTTATTATATCAGTACCATATTACTTTTGTCGTATGGTCTAGTAAGATAGAGAGTATAGATGTTCTCCTGTTATAAAATCCAATAAAATCAAATTATACATTTTTCTTTTGTCGTATGGTAAAATCCGATTGACCAATCTGGATCCCCACCTGTTAGCCCCTAGCATCACCGAGGAGTCCTAGAAGGACTGAGATACAGTGTTGTGCTGAGTTATTTCCTTTGGCATGTTACATTTGTATATCTATTACTAGACTTAAAGAGTGCAACATGTGTGTGTGTATGTGTGTGTGTCTCTGATATTTATCACTGAATTCGTCTTCATGTAAGTAGAAACTACAGTGACTTGACATGTTCCTGTTTTTGGTAGGTGTATTGAACAGGTTTATATAACAACTGTTTCCATGTACTGGCCATATAACGTTTCGTTATGAAATAACAAATGTACATCACACTTCTATAATCATACAATAATACACAATGACAATACACCTTACACTTACACCTTGTTTTCATTATTGGCAAAGACCCGGATAACACGTTACGGCAAATAGTGATGCAAACACTGGAATTGTTTAAAGTTACTATAAAGAATATACACATATAGTAAATATGTATTGACTAATTTATTAATGTTTCTTAATTTCTCATTCAGGTATTTATCTGACTGTGTCGATGGCGCTAGCCTCAATCTCGGTTATCCTCACTGTGTTTGTGCTGAAGATCCATCATTGCGCTCCCCATCAGCCTCGAGTACCCAAATGGGTCCGGAAGGTGGTTCTTGGCTACCTTGGAGGTCTTCTGCAGTGCAAGTGCCTTAAAACTCAGAACAATCTCGGCAAGAGAAGTAGGGGAGGGGATATTCATGGACCGGAAGAATCGGAAATACTTTCCAAACTCATGAATGATATTGCAGCAACGAAAGATAATAACAGACGGCGCTGTCAACCTAACGATTCATACGGGTCGTCTCAAAGCGAGGCTGGTAGCGTCATAGCCGATCTAAGGGGAAGCAGCTTCCTTGCCGATCTACGAGGAAGTCTGAACATGTCTAATCGAAATTCTTACGTAGACGACCATAACGGAAATACCGATGGAGTGACGGACGGAAAGAAAGGAATCATGGAGGATGTTCTGAAATATCTTCAGTGTATGCTGGCCAAAAATGACCAGCAAGATCTGGAGGCCGAAGTGTTGGACGAATGGAAACAAGTGGCCACTGTTGTTGACAAAGCCTTGCTCTGGACTTTTCTGGGGATCACGCTCATTTCAACCCTCATCATATTGATCATCATTCCCCTCACCACATATTCGATGACAGGTGGCCTGTAACACACTGCCTCATTCCACTTTCATTCTACTTTTGTTGTTTTCATTTAGTGGTAATTGAAATGATTTCATTTGTTGTCTATCTTTTTACCTGATAACACTTGAACATTCAGTGATTGTTTTATCATGAAACTCAAACAGTTTTCTCTATGGTGTCACTACGAATCATATATATCTTTATAATAAGTTAGTTAAAACCGACAAGACAACGTTAATCTTAACAGATGACAAAATCATGCAGGCTTTTATATTTATTTATATGGAAAGTTTACTTGTATTATATTTTGTGGTTACGATGAGCCTCATAGGAAAATATTAATTAAAAAATACATGGAGACATAGCTCTAAAGGCTAAATTAGTAGATGTCCAAGAAAACAAACTTCGATCTTTCTACGGAACACTATTTAGTTTTATCCCAGAGACTAATGGTTTTACGATATAACACATTTACTATTCAAGTAGATGACAAAAATTCAACATGGTCAGTGTTTTAACTAACCAAGGAAAAAATCCATTCTGGCAAAAGTGGAACCTGCTCGCACCCGGCAGTGAAACCTGCTCGCACACGGCAGTGGAACCCTGCTCGCACCCGGCAGTGGAACCCTGCTCGCACCCGGCAGTGGAACCCTGTTCGCACCCGGCAGTGGAACCCTGCTCGCTCCCGGCAGTGGAACCCTGCTCGCACCCGGCAGTGGAACCCTGCTCGCACCCGGCAGTGGAACCTGCTCGCACTCGGCTGTGGCAAAAGGGTCTTATGTGACAATACCCGGGTCAGAAAAAGCTAACAAATAGTTAGTCAGATTGCTTAACACGAACATCCTATCTGAAGTGTTATGTAAACTAAATGACTCTTAAATGTTTCCTTTATTTTATATCAGTGATGATCCCAATAATGTGATGCAAGCGCAGAAGCGCCCATGGAGTGATGCAATCTGTGATATTTCCTATGTATCCAAGCTACATGTATACAGACTCTGTTAATTATTACTTATATGACATATACTAGAAAGACTAATGTTCGAGTAAGTTTCTAACGGATGGACATATATGTCAACAACTGTTGATAGCAGATCTGTGTTAATTCCCTCGGTATTTGACCATGAAAATCAAACTAGTGCATACGGTTCTGAATATTTGTATTTGTTAAAATTTTATAATGTAAAAATTCTAATGCATTCACATTCCAGAAGTGCCATAACGGTAAACACTTCAATACACCCTCAACGTATACTGATATACCCAAGGCCATGGCTAATTCGCTATTACTTTTCAAACAGTTATGTTGTGGTTGTATTTTTGGTTTTAATATTATTTAAATGAAAACCCCATTTTTGCAATACTCATATTAAACATATAATATCACTAATTCAAGAATTCTTAGCAATATAATCAACATTTATATTATACTGTTTACAAAGCTATGTCAACTTTATGCAGTTTGTCGAAAAGCTATCATATTACATTGTACCATTCAAAATCTCCAAAAGAATCAATGGAGAATGGCACTTCAGAACGAGATTCAGCGTGATCTTGGTAGGTTTCGTAATTACTGTTGTTAAAAAAAGTGAAATAAAACTTTAATACAGATTTTCAGCTCACAAGACGTCCCATACCTGTGTGGTAGAACCTTTCGTTAATCGTTATGTCAGCCCTTATATCGACGCTATCAAATGGTAACAATTGTGAACGTCAAAGTGTATATTAATATAAGTTATATATTCATATGACGAAGATGTAAACGTTACCGAACAGGAACAGACAGTTGCTGGTCTAGATGGCGCACGACATGATATTACTCAGAAAAGGATGAATACATTTACGGGACCCCACACTTAAAGTACAAACGTTGTTAGATAGCACATCTGTCCTCCGGACGTCAATCTGGTCACGGAAAAACCTGATCAATTTTACTAAAATTGATCTTGATTGCTGCAATCTTATCCGAGTTTCGTAATGAATTTCCGGTTGCTTACTGAATGAATTACTGCATTAATGAAAAAAAAAGGTTGTTTCAATGAATACGATATTCCTCTTACTGATATTTGAATATATTTAAGACTATAACTATAAGTATAAGACTAGAACCACGTTACTTTAAAGGTTAGGATGGATGAACTCTTACGACATTATATTAATGGACGTGATTACTACCGTTTGAGGGACATTGCTATCATAATAAATTGTAACTTTATAAACACCTTCATGGACAAATGAAGAATGTTAATGAACGAATTTCAATATTAATAATTTGTCATTAACATCTACATGATATTTTATTTTGTTTTTCTTTACTCTTGTATCCTCGATGTACTTAATCATTTATAGTTAATTTTCGTTTAAATTGTTTTCGTGTTTGGCACTGATGGTAGTTCAATCAATATGGAATGAAAGTAAACAATTATGCATGTCACCCTTTGGAATATTGATGTGATTGGATGCCAAATACAGTATTGTTTCAATAATAATATGCATTAGTTACTATTTTTGCTTAAACGGATGATATACGTTTCTTCGATGTAGAACAAGTTATATTTAATGTATATAGTTTGGTAACGAATAGAGATGAAGTTTTTGAGTTAAGATATTATGTACACACATTATTAAGTATAGATGTAGTTATGAAGTCTTGACCCAATGTACATGTATACACAGTGGCATCTTGTTAACCTCAATACAACGGTTACCGCCTAACTTCGGTATGTATATCTTGTTAACCTCAATACATCGGTTACCGCCTAACTTCGGTTTGTATATCTTGTTAACATCAATACATCGGTTACCGCCTAATTTCGGTATGCATATCTTGCTAACCTCAATACATCGGTTTCCGCCTTACTTCGGTATGTATATCTTGTTAACCTCAATATATCGGTTACCGCCTAACTTCGGTATGCATATCTTGTTAACCTCAATACATCGGTTACCGCCTAATTTCGGTATGTATATCTTAATAACCTCAATACATCGGGTACTGCCTAACTTCGGTATGTATATCTTGTTAACCTCAATATATCGGTTACCGCCTAACTTCGGTATGCATATCTTGTTAGCCGCAATACATCGGTTACCGCCTAACTTCGGTATGCATATCTTGCTAACCTCAATACATCGGTTACCGCCTAACTTCGGTATGTATATCTTGTTTACGGATTAACTTAACATGGTAATCATTATTTTGTAAGAATATGTGTTCATTCCCTATTTTATTAGAATTTCGTTCATCCAAATACGTTGATTCCCAAAAACATACGGAATACTATATTTTCTGGACAAAGAAAGTTCATTTATATTTAACTAGGTCACTGATATTACGTATCTCGAAAGGTCTATCGAGGTTTTATTGTAATTTTCTACATAAAATGTATGATTTTATTACATTATTCCTACTGTACTACATACCAATGTATAACTTATAACTTACTCAAAAACTGCATTTTGTTGTTTACATTTACAGACAGGACAGACAATAAAAAGGTATGAAACAAGTGTCCTTGGCTTCCTTTTAACCATATGATAAACTTTCTTTTTGTAATGAATAATATACGGTCACGGAAAATGAACATCCATTTCCCGAAACGTTGAATGATTCCGATGTAAAGTGTGTCATAGATTTGATCCTACACACACAGCACGTTGCTACATGTATATATACTTTGGGCAATATAAAATGTTTTGATAGCGCAACTTCTTGACAATGGATGGAAATATCGTTCGGTAAAATTTTGAGTCAATGGAATTAATGTTCTCCCAAAACTGTGAAGGTCTTCGTAATGTCATCATGTCAATGTGGATGTTTTCTACGCTACCCCATATACCAACACAAAAGTAGTATACAGAAAGAGGATCCCGCAGAGTGTAGTATAAAGAAAGGCTTAAAACATTCAAAGGTAAATACATGTCTTCACTAATAAGTTATCCTGATATTGGTTTGTTAACAGTTTTAACTTATATGAGGAAATTAAACGCGTGGATATAAGGCTTTAGGTAACATCTTTGTTCTCTAATAGGAACACAACACACTTAGCTCGGCGACTGTTCACGCTTCATATTGTCCCATCGACATTGTTTTTAATACATGTGCATTCAATTTGCAAGCTTAGATTGTAAAAAGAAAACAAAAATGCTAAAACGAAAAAAAGTAAGACGACACGATCGTCACGCCCCCCGAATAGGTGTTTCGGTGTTGGACCAATGAATCTCGGAGTGGTGCACATAGTTCGTTAACGTGGCTAACACCGACAATTAAAACATTTCGATGTAAGTGGCTAACACCGAAAATTAAAACATTTCGATGTAAGTGGCTAACATCGAAAATTAAAACATTTCGATGTAAGTGGCTAACACTGAACATTAAAACATTGCTTTGTACATGTACGTGGCTAACACCGAATATTAAAACATTTCGTTGTACGTGGCTAACACCGAATATTAAAACATTTCGTTGTACGTGGCTAACACCGAACATTAAAACAATTCGTTGTACGTGGCTAACATCGAACATTAAATCATTTCGTTGAACGTGGCTAACACCGAACATTAAAACATTTGGTTGCACGTGGCTAACACTGAACATTAAAACATTGCTGTGTACGTGGTTAACACCGAAAATTAAAACATTTCTTTGTACGTGCTAACACCGAAAATTGAAACATTTCTTTGTACGGGCTAACCACGGAATTTTGTACCGATGACATTATTTGAAAACTCCAAACATCGAAAGAAAGTACAAACGAACTGTTCGTGTTTTACAGTAAAATAATCTCTATAAATACGAAGTAAATAAGCTTTTATTTAGTAAGTCAATACAAAACGCCAAAAAAAGGAAATATTTTTCTACATCATATTTCCTTTTCATTACTTTGAGACTCGTCCCTTTTAGCAAGGTTAAAATATCAAATGCGTTTCGAAACATATGTTCATGCAGAGAACTACAGAGAAAGGGCAAAGTGTCTACAGAACCCTTTATTACGCCACATACTTACAGGGTTTTATTACAGCAAATATGTGAGTATATACATATGATAACCTTAGCACACACATAGATAATCTTATATGAAATAGGAACACATTTTATAGATAAGGCTTATTGACGAACGTAACAACAAAAACAGACTAATTTCCCATGCTCAAAGGAATCATTAGGGTTTCGCTCCAACACATAATGTGATATTCGAAATAACTTAAATGCAAAAATCTTAACTTACGTAATAGCGGAAAGAAATGGAATCACTTTGTAGTGCATACACATTTTTGGTATTTATTTATAATGAACATGTTTAGGCTTTGGAGCTGGA